GGCTCAGGCGATGTCCAGGGTGCCCATCATGCCGGCGAGCTGGTGCTCCAGCACGTGGCAGTGGAACATCCAGCGGCCCGGCGTCTCGGCGACGAAGGCGGTGTCCACCGTCTCGCCGGGCGCGATCAGCAGGGTGTCGTGCCAGGGCTGCGGCTCGACCGGCCGCCCGTCGCGCGCCAGCAGCTTCAGGTGATGGCCGTGCAGATGCATGGGGTGCTCGAAGCTGGAGCGGTTGACCAGCCGCAGGCGGTAGCTGCGGCCCCGTTGCAGCGAGAAGAGCGGCGGGTCGTCGGGGCCGGCATGGGCCTGGCCGTTGAGCGCCCAGACCTTGCCGCGCGCCGCCAGCTCGCGAAAGCCGTAGGACTCGCCGCCCAGCCGCGCCGTCATCATCTGCCCCATGGCGCCGCCGCCCAGCACCAGCTCGAGATCCTCGGCGGCGCCCAGGTCGGGGGCGGGCAGGGGATTGTCCGGCAGGGCCAGCGGCGCGTCGAGCGGGCTGGCGCGCAGCGGCCGCTCCGCGTCGTAGGCGATGCTCAGCAGCNNTCTCGTAGTAGGCGTCGACCACGCGGGCGCGGCTGCCCGGGTCCTGCCCGAGGTCGAGGATCAGGTCGCAGCGCCCGCCGGCGCCGAGCACGACCAGCCCGTCCGGCGGGCTGTGCGGGCGGCAGGGCTGCCCGTCGAGTGCGACGATCTGCGGCGCGTGCCCCTCGAAGCGCAGGCCGAAGGTGCGCGCGTTTGAGACGTTGGCCAGGCGCAGGCGCACCCGCTCGCCGCTGCGCACCGGCCAGCTCGCCGGCAGGACGCCGTTGAGGGTGACGGTATTGCCGATGCGCCCGGCATGCGCCGCCTCGTGGAGGTTCTCGCCGAAGCCGCCGACCATCCGCGCCTGCTCGTCGAGGCGCCAGTCGTCGAGCACCCAGAGCTCCTCGCGGTCGACCTGCGGCGGCTCGGCCTCCGCGACCACCAGGGCGCCGGCCAGGCCGCGGCCGACCTGCTCGCTGGCGTTGACGTGGGGGTGGTACCAGAAGGTGCCGGCGTCCTTCAGCGCGAAG